CAGCAAGTTTAGGTGGGCGTTTTACTTGTTTTAAGCGGCTCCAGTGAATCTAGACATAATAAAAAAATCAACATTCTAGCGCTGTGCACAAAGGAGTTATTAAAGAACAAACATCGTTAACGACGGGTGTGACTGTAGGTGTTGGTGTGGGTGTGGTGAGTGTGGATGTAGAGAAGGAAATATTCACATGCACACCCACACCCACATTCACACCATCCACACCCACACATCCCACCCACATCCACGCCTACACCCACGCTCCACAGCCACCCACAGCCACACATCTACACCCGCACACACCCACACGCCACACCCACCATCCACACACCCACACCCACTCACACTCGCACTTACTCAAAATACAACAGTTGAATATCACATTAAATTCGTTTACCTATAAACTACTAACATCATTTGCAAAATGTACCAGTTAATCTGAGTCAGCTATTTTCTGGTAAATCTTTAGTTTTTTATATGAATAAACTTCTTAATGGTTGATATTTATTCAGGTGGGATAACAGTGCTGCTCAACTCATGGTACAAATGCAAACAGAACATATTGCTGGTCTTTGTTAACAATTTCAAACAGTGAAATCACTATATATTTTAGCGACCGATGTCCACCAACTCTATGATCAAGGTATGACGGACATAGGACTAAAACAATTCAACATAAAAGGATTAATCAATTATAAAATATCTACACAAGCTAATTTAGATGTATTTTTAAATGAATTCTTGACAAAAATCTATTCGAATAAATTTTATTCATGCCAAAAAGTGTATCGACAACGATTCGATATCAAACTATGGCAGTGTCTTCGAATTTTTAGATTCGATAAATAAATAATCAAATTTATTCAATCAAATGAAAAATTTTTCAAACATTATTCAGTTTTTTTCTCTAATTAATCACTTTACTTATTATTAACGATTTTGCTTCGTAGTATTCAAATAAAAACAGATTCAATAAAAAATCGTCTTGAGAATATACAGTGAGAATGAATTATAACATATGATTGATATGTCTTTGAAAAAATATCAACTGCTATCAGATTACCCACGAAAAACAATTTTATATAAAGAAGCGTTTCAGCGCAAACTTTTCGAAAAAAAAACGTTATTTCTATGTTTAAACGCATCTCTTTTGTTGGCATGACAAAAGTATCTATTGAGAAGTGCTTCTTTATTTACTTTTATTTCCATAAGCAGCACAAACAATGAACAGTTAAAAGAATCTCAAACGATACTAATTAAAACTTCAATCGGTACGTGATCCGATCCAAACTGTTTCAAACACTCCTCCAAATCATTTATCTTGGTCGATACATCGACATTTTTCATTTGGAAGTACCCTTCTTCAATCCAAATATGATCGCACTGCCTCGTTCCTCTTCCATCTTCGCTAAAATATGTATTTGGATCTCCACTAATTGCATTTACAAATTTTATCGTTGTGTGCTTCTTGAACATTTTTTCCATTTCATGTCTTGTAGCATTCATATCACCAAGGACAATAAATGGTCCTGCAAACCGTCTGAACACGAGCTCTTCCAATTCAGCAAACTGCTTTTCTTTCACATTAAAGTCTAGATGTACGTTCACAATCGAAAAGCGTTTCCCATCATGCGCTTCACAATTAATAACTTGACACTTTTTCCCATTATTGAATGAAATTGGTACAATATCATATTTTCCTGCCCATGTTTTTGAGACGAGTGTCATAGCACCGGCACTACGTGCATTAACTGGTTCAGATTTCGAAGCTAGAAGGATAGATCGTATGGCACAAATTATTTTAGATATAGCTTGTCGTGCCACCTGAGATTTAAACATTTTTCGATGCAGATTTTGGACGCTGGTTTCATTGTCAAAAACTGAGGATCGCTAGCTACTGCAGAAAATAATTTGAGAACAAAATACTTTCTTAGAAAAATGACCTCTATTGCACACCTTATTGAGCCTCTTATTCTTAATCTTAAGCCTTTATTTTGGCCAGAGATGAGAGAGTACGACAAAACTTTATCACATCTCATTTCAAAAAATATCTGCAAAAGATTTGAGCAGACCGAAACTTTATCATAATAATCTAGTTTTGTCCGAAAACATGCGGCATTCTGAAAAATCAAAAACCTCTGTGAAAACTTCCAATTGATAATCTGTGCCACTGCTTGCGGCTACATTTCTCAACATTCTCATGAGGTACCACAGCCAGAATGCACAAAGAGGTAAAGCTTGCAGGTGATAGTTCAAAGAGCTCTTCCATCACACACCCTTTCGAAAAAATGTTGGTGTTACTTGGAGGAAACGCTTTAGAAATGTGGTTATGGTTTCGCTTTGCATGAGACTGAATAGGTTATCGACTGAAAGTATTTTGAAATATTTTCGAGTCTTTTAGAATGTTGAAGGTTATTTGGGACTGTGAGCTCTTTCTGAGAAACGGACTAAACCTTTTTTGCCGAAGGAAAGAGGAGCTAGACTGTAATCGATGTATGTATGTGAAAAAAAAACTGCACACACTACTGAATCAAGCATACACATATATATGAAAAAGAAGAAAAGAGAAAGAATGGTATTGTAGATAACATTCTTTCTCGAAAACAGAACATGCAACGAAAAGGTACAGAACACTGTGAATGAAAAGATGAGAAGGAATGTCTCTAAAGTGTTTGTGTGTTGTAGAGAAGGAAAGAGAAGCAATAGTGAGGACACTTGTCATCGATAACAGAGACAAACTGCATTTGCACTTCTTAAATCATTTATAGATATTTTTTAAAGTGAGAGTTCGACAAATTTCGCCATAGTCTCCCATTAATATACGAAATGAAGGTTCAAGATTAAGAATAGTGGGCTCAATAAGTTCTCCGATAGAACTTGTTTTTACCTCTAATTGCCTTTTCCTACCGAGACTCCTTTTTCCCCACAACAGCTATCGATCGGCGGTTTCCATGACTGCACAAGAACATGTGTATCTCACAGGTGGCACCACTGATCAATATGCTAGTAGTTTATTCTAATGAACTTACCCAGGGATGAGCAGCCATATCTTGACGGAAAATATTTTTCAAATAGGAGCCAATCTTGTTCCTGTGCTTCCTGTAGCATAATGAAATCAGCTGAGGAGTTTTGAATTAGGTGTAGTGTATGTTCACGGCGATTTTGATAGTCGAGGAGGTTGGATGAAGTGTTTGGGTAGTATTGTTTTTTAACAAAGACAGCAGCTAAGACATTGTATGTAAGAATGCGTATGTCAGTCATTTTTTTTTGCTTCTACACTTATGATTTGTGTGAAGTGAAAAGTGAAAGTGAGAAAAGAAAAGAGACACGATGTAATAATGAATAGCAACAGAAAGAAAAGAAAAGTAAACCTTGACTCATGTTATTTCACAATCTATATGCCAGCTGATGACATTTGTTTTCTGTCTCATTGGGAATGGGAGATTTAAATATGTCAGTTGTTAAAGGAACAGGTCAGACTAATTAGCCAATGAATAAGTTTGGGTAACTAAAGTTAAATTAGAGGTTATATCAATGATCGAAGGAAAAAAAACAAAAACCAATAATAAATTGCGACAACTGATTCTAATTTTGGTAATGATCGTCTAACTCTATTTTCATCTACTTTTCAATGGCAAGCACTTTTTGAACAATGATTGGTCAATAGCAATTTAAGATCAGTACTTCCTCTACTTTGACATGTAGCTTTCTGTATTATATCAGTTGTATTTACATTATTACCGAAGAAGAATCAGCAAACATGCCAAGTTCTTCTTCATGAGTTCATAGAACATTGTCTTTAACAGAATTCAAAACCTATAACGGTCGATTTTGAAAGATCGGTGTCGATGCATTCGAGGATAGTTTCACAACGACAACAAATTTTTTAGCATCATCGAGTTAACTCACGAGGGAACATCATGCAGACCCTAACGAGGGCTATGAATACACGGAAAATAGTTCGGGTCCATAGCTTGTTACTGGAGGGATACTGCATTTTTAAGGGTATTTTTACCTCAATCCCATAGTCCCCTTCAGGAACATCAGGAAAACTGACTTTGGAATTTCAACTTGAAACTTTACACAAAGAGCGGTCTTAGAAAGAATAGCTTATTGTGAAAGTTTCAACCTTTTCGATTGCACCTATTCTGAAATAAGGATATAGAAATCTGCTAGTACATAAGCGGGGTGTGGGTGTGGGTGTCAGTGTTCTTGTGACAGCCACACCTACACTCACACCACTCATACTCACACCAACACGCGCATCCACATTCACACCCTGATTGTCCATCATTATCTCATCGACTTATAGCTATCTCTGATATTACAGCTAATAAAGGATAAGGGCGAGAGAGATTTCTAGGTTCATAAATTGTCATTTTCAACATGGGTATCTTTCAATATTTGTATCATTTTTGTTTTCGACATTTTTACTTTAGAGATTTTTACTTTCGACCAAAGTTTACACAATCCTGAACTTTATTGTCCTTTACAAAAACGTTCAAAAACCAAGAAATTCACGTGAATATCATTTCGATGATAGTCATCATTATCTTATATGTAAGCAATCAAATAAAATGTATACATTTTCGATTTTTCGTCGTATTCGAATTTACTGATAGAAAATTCAACACCTGATCGCAGTAAAATTTCATCTTCTTCGTGAAATTGGGAAAGCTTTTTAATAGATAATGCTCGTCCGTCGTTGTACCATTTCTCTGGACAAATAATGAAAAATGCATTTCATATACGCATTTCGGCAATTTGCCGATCTCTACTGGTCGAGGTAAATCCAAGCCATTGATATGATCCTTTGCCCATTGCACGTTTATAAGCACGTAAGTCGTGCGCACGAAGATTTTCACCACGATAAACTCTCAAAATTTCAAAAACAGATGGATATTTGTTGAACTGTGATAAAAGAACTTTACAGAAAGGACCAAGAGTATTGATTTTATTATAATCGCGTGTGCGTAGAAACTTATTCAGTGCTCCCGAAAGAAATGAAGGTCGTGTGTATAGATAGATGCATCGAACACCAATCAACTGGATGTCAGTTTCACTTAGGTTTACTAAATTTTGAACTAAATTTTCAGCTTCTAATTCCTTCCCATTTAAACGTCCTTCAAAACGAATACCAGCGATCACAGCCGAAATGCTGGTGTCTACTGAAGAATCTAAACAAGCTGTGATGATCGGATCTTTTATGGAAGATTTGGCATTATAGAAAGCCAGACATCGGTGTCGTCGACGGAGTCTTTTCATCTTCGGTATGTTTCTCCTTACAGGGCAGACGTTCCCGTTCTCATCAAGTTGGATTCCATAATCGAAATTGATTAGCTTCTCGTTTAGTTCGATTTCAGATGATTGAGATCGATAGATGCGTTCGATAGAAAGCTCCTCGTCTTTTGAATAACTGTGCCATCGTTCGGCAGGCTCCTCGCTGGTATCACTGAACGGCCGATACATCCACAGACATGAACTAGGACTGCGTGCACGAAGTGAATTGGGAGAGTGTGTTGCTGACGACATCTTCAATGTAAAATGAAACAGTTTAAGAATAAAAATACTGTATACGATGGTTTCTGTGAAGTTCTACTTACAATGCCACTTGACGAAAACGAAGATGATAGACTGGATATGATTTCTTCATCAATAGCATATGTTTTAGTCCATTCGACTGCTTTCTGCTTGAATAAATCTAGATCATTATCAAGTAAGAAAGCCACTTCTCCATTAATAAAGTAGTCAGACGTTGGATTGCGAATAAGTGACATAACATCTTGCAATAAGGAGCGCACTGTTGATGCAGGAGTATAATCAGCATGATAGATGCATAGTATTCCGATGGCATCGACATTAGGATGAAAGATTTTTGTGTCGAAGCGAAAATCTGGAACTTTAAATGGATATTCAATTGGAAATGTTAGTGACAATTGAAATTCTCCGCTCTCATATGGAGTTCCATGTGGACCGTCCAGATAAAGTCTCCATTTTTTCAAATCATTTGGATAGTACGATTCGACGGACCATCCAGGCTCCACATCAATTTGCAAACTGTTGAGCTCTTGTGATAGACGTTTGTGCTGCTTAACCCTTTACGGCCGAATGTTGCTTTTTGGCAACATTTTGCCAATATCATCTTAGGATTTATTTTAAAGTGACGAGATATAGTTCCTTAAGCGATCTGGTAATTAATTACACGTATTTTAGGGCAAACCTATGCCTTTTCAAGAAAAAAGAAAGGTATTGTTGACGAGAGAGACGAAATCTCCCGCCAACACCCAAAATAGCCCTCGAGTCGAAACGATCNTTGAGCAGATTAAAATCGATTGTCCGATTAAAATCCGATTTTAGTTGGGTGAATCAAAAATAATTGATTGAGTTGATTGATTTTACAATCGATTATAACATTTTAATCGATTTTAATCGGATTCTTCTAGAAAAAGTAGAAGCTTTGTTCGAAAAATCGGATTTGTCAGTCGCTAATCAAAAATAATCTGGATTTTCTTCGGAATATTTTTCACTGGGAACCATCAGACCAATATATTCTGGATTGATATTTTCCGCTTTGTCATCCGTAAATATCTCGTTTTTTATGAAAATGTTTTGAGGTATTTTCGGTTTTCGACTTTCTTATACGGTTTTATTTCCCTTGGCCTCCTCTTTCAATGCTCAAAGTTTCAACTCTATAACTGATTACGTTCTGGAGTTATTTAACTTCTTTCATCATACATTCTATTTTGAAATGAGTAATAGTAATTTAAGCCAAATTTTACTTCTCTTCTGTATACCAATTTTTACAACTCAATCTTTGTTCCCCTAGTAGAGCAAACATGTAAAAGTGATTGTTCGACTATGGTGTATGTTTCTATATGTCATTCTCTTTCTTCACCATAGTCAAGCAATAAAAAAGAAATAAGAAGACATTTTGCGTTTCTTTTTGGTTTATGCTCTTCTTTATTATAACACTCGAAAGTGCTTACAGTGAAAAAGAGTGAAAAGGAGGAGGGAAAGAACAAAGAGAAAGAATAGAGTTAAAGATAGGAACTAATAATAAAGAATGGGAGCAGAGATAAAAATAGAGGGAAGAAGTACAATGAGATGTTAACAGTTTTCACTTGCAGAAGAAAGGATAGAAGGGGAGCCTACGTAATCATTCTATCTGTTCTACACTAGTTATTTTTCTGATTGTTAAACGTTCGTGCTTTTAGAAGGAGAGAGAAGGGAGACTTCATTCAGCCCTGGCTGTTGCTACGAAGACATCGTGGAGATTAATGAACGAAATTTAATCAGATTATAAGTAATGAATGATGCTTAGCCTTTGATCTTTTAACTTTCTTCATTGAAAAGAGATGGGTCACTCCGTTCTTTGGGTGTTTATGAAAGTTATTCCAAAAGAAAATATCTTCTAAGAAAAGGGAAGAGCCTAGACTGAATACATACATGTTTTTCAATCTTTTTGAGATATAGCGTACAGCATATTTGTCCAGTGGATCTTCATGAGTGAACCAGCTAAGATCTGCCACCTTTATGAATAAAGCACGATGAATGAGCCGAATCGTTACTCTAATTTTTTTGTCTAAGTGCTTTTTGTTGTGTTTGGGAGAGAAAAGGAAAGAAGGGAAAAATTCAGGCAAACTGAAAAAAAGTATAGGCAAAGAAACATTTTCCTAGTACATCTTTAGACAGGGTTTTTCCTCTACGTAGCCATTTCTGTTTGCATAATGATCTTTAGATATTTTCGAAACATCTATTTACTGTAGGCTTTAACAATAATTTACTTGTCCAGGTGAATTCAAAGTACTTAAAGTAGTTTACAACCTCTAGTTTTTTGAATAAAAGGCTTGAGCAACTGCTTTTCCTACATTTATGGGCTGTTTTCAAAGGTTGGAGTATTGAATAATTCGGTCACAAACTTTAGTACCTTCCTGCTCTAAACACCTAACTAATGCTGGAAATGATTTTTGTAGTGGGCTCGAGTGAGCACACTCAGATCACCTGCAAACAGATGCCCTGAGTGGACTCCTAAACCAATAAACTAAATCATTGTGGTATACTACGAAGAGATAATGGTTAAGACTACTTCCTTGGGGAAGCCATTTTGCGTTTCTCTCTTCAACATTGCACGGATGTTAGTGGTGCAAACACAAGATGATAATCCTAATCATTTTGAGAATTAATTCAAACGCGAACTGTAACAGAAAGAGCTGTGTATCAGAAAGTGAAGCAAAACTACAAGAATAAGAAGTTTATTGGTACATCTTCTGAAGGGGCTGAAATGTAGCACTTGATAATACTTTTTAATTCTAAGAATACAAAAATTTTGAATTCAATTTATTTCGCTCCATATATACCAGCAGTTGTCATACGAAAGAACCGTTTCGAGATCCTTCTACCTGTTTGACTATGAGAAGATCCACAAGCCTATTTTGTAGGATTTTTAAGCATTTTTATCTCTTTAATGTTCTTTGGAGCGAGGCGTTCTTTAATAAAGTATAATCAGTTATTTAAATGAGAGATGTAACGGCCAGAGCAGAATTCTGCTCTGTTCGTTTAATATTTCGGAATCTTATTTCCTTCTCTTATTTTCTTCACGCTCCTCTCTCTTGCTCTTTTGTTTGTATGTTCATGTTTTTATTTGCTCTCTTTTTTTCCATTCTTTAAAATTTTCATTATATACTGTTTCATTAGTTTATTGCACACAGCTATTCCATCACTCAGTGAAGATCGAAGTACGCTATTTTACGTTTCACTGATGCTATCTGCAAGATGACACTAGATTGCATTTCGTGTCGATCTTGTGCCTAATATCACAGATTGATATGCTACTCACTGCCTCCATAAATGCCGATAACATCATTTAATCCTTGAATGTATGAGATAGCTATTCAAGGCTTTTTGTTTTTTCAAAGGCAAATAAAATCTTGTATATTGTTTCTTTTGGCCTCTATCTCTTATCTTGCGTATAAACCCATTTATTTCGCAACCATAAAAATACGTTGTTACCACCCAAGACATACTGGAAGAGAACGCATAAAATCATTTGAGTAACGGTACGTACACCAAACTATGGAACGTTATTAGCAGCAGAACCGCCTCGACGACGGCCTAGCATTTTTCCTCGGCTCTGATTTCATAAAATAAGGTTTTGGTCAATCTTTTTCTCCTGATAGAGGGACTCAGTGCAGCTCCCTGCTTTGGTAATTTTTGTTTATTTCTATCGCAGTTTTCTACTATTTTGATATTCGTTTAATCAAAAACTTGTCAACTGTTTCTTTCTTGAAAAACATGAAAGAGTGGTGCTTTCACTTAAGACGTAACTAAACCTAGTTGTGTTTTTTTTATTGCCACCAAAACAAGAACAAAAAAAACATTGAAGTAAACGATTATTGTTCATTATGTTTGATTATGGAATACATGCCGTTTCAAATTTAGCATAAGAAGGAACTATTTTGGACAGAATATTTACATCAAAGTCATCCTGAGGCTAATTATTCAAATGTTTGATATCTATGAAAGAATTGCGATATATCTAATCATAGATTTTGTATTACTATTTATTATACAAACACAAGGGAATATACACGTTCCACATTTTTACCCCATCAGTAGCTGCGCTGGTAAGTTGGCTTTCATTTCTGTTGTGGGATAGAGATTGACAAAATAAGCTAGAAACAATATTGTGAGTAATTGTATCGATTGACTTTACAACTAATGAAGAAAGGTCACCAATTGTTCAATCGCCTTTAAGTCGGGACTATGTGCGTCATGTAGACCCCAATAAGGTGTGAAAAAACTCCAAAAGAATAAGAACACCTACGAGGGAATCGCCCGAAATGACTCAGGACTTCTGAGCTGATATTTTGCCCATAAGTAAGAAGTGATGAAACTAGAAAAAGCCAGAATTTCGATCTAAAATTTTATCCACATTCAGGTCTTTATGGCCCTTGTATTAACATAAAAGTCTCAGACAAAATGAATGCTTCTTTCTCGAAATATCAAATATCCAAGAAAAGTCGACTTTCTTCGCATGTCTGTGGTATTGGAGGTTTTTTGAAAGATCAATATTTAGAGAAAGAACCATTCATTTTGGCTGAGACTTTTATGTTAATACAAGGGCCATGAGTATTTTAGGTGGAAATTCTGCAGTTAAGTTTTTCCGTGAATCGCTTGTCATAGGTGGTAAACCCAGTAAAATGACTGTAACTTGAGAAGAAAAGCCTATTGATCCTTACCTTTATAGGCTTTTTCAAGTTTCATCAGGACCTGCTTATTGACAAAATATAAGCCCAAAAGGCGTGAGTCACTTCGGGCAATTCCTTCGTTAGGTCTTCTGTCCAGAGTTATAGGAATTTTAGCCTCTGCCATAGTATATGCTAATATATTGAAGGACAGTATTCGACCTGGAATTTTTCTCATAGGGAGGCCTATTTATGAGTAGAATGCTCTGAAATTTTCATCTCAAAAGAATGTTTCTTTTCCGAGATATTAGCGTCCCAAAAAACAGAAAATTCTAGCATCTGTCATGGAATATGAATGTTTTTTAGGACGTTAATATCTAATACTCTTATTCTTTTGGAGTTTTTTATAACTCATTGAGGTCTACATGACGCGCATAGTCCAAACTTAAAAGAGATTGAACAATTGATGATCTTCCTTTGTAAATATTTTAAATGTTAAGACAATGATTCTTTATCTTTGATAGTTAAAAAACGATCTACCAAAAAAACGACAATGGTTGTTACACTATTTGTACTACTGTCCTTATGTTCTTTGCACAAATCAATGGGTGAAGCAGAGAAAATAGGTAATTTTTACAAAACGGAAATCACATGATACTGAGAAGAAAATATATGTTTATTGATATGTGATAGGAACAAGAAAACCTCGTGCTAGAGATCTCTGTATTCCATTTGACGGTACACCTGGCAAATATAATGCAATAACAGATGTCGGCGGTGTTGAAGTTGGTTTTAGCACAATTATCCAAGGCGATTCTGTTCGAACGGGTGTCACTTCTATATTTCCGCGTGGAACAGATTTGACTATTTATCAACCTCCTTGTTTTGCAAATTGGTTTAGTTTGAATGGAAATGGTGAAATGACTGGTATACATTGGTTGACAGAATCTGGTTTTCTTACAAGCCCAATTTTAATTACAAGTACAAACAATGTTGGAATTTGCCGAGATTCTATGATAAAATGGTTTCTAATAAAATCTGATTCAAATTCAATGATTAATATGGTTGATGTGGGTTTACCCATTGCTGCTGAAACGTGGGATGGATATTTGAATGATGCTTATGGATTTCATGTGAAAGAAGAACATGTATTTGAGGCATTGGAAAATGCTAAAGTATCTGGTCCATTCGTTCAAGAGGGAAATGTAGGTGGTGGAACAGGTATGAGAAGTTTTGATTTTAAAGCTGGAACGGGAACAAGTTCAAGAATAGTCGAAGATCTAAATTACACAGTGGGAGTTTTAGTACAAGCAAATTTCGGATCGAAGAAACTATTGACTATTGCGGGTGTTCCTGTCGGCAAAGAACTATTACAAATAGAGACGAATAATACTGTTCAAAATAAAGGTGCTGGATCGATTATCGTTATCTTAGCCACAGATGCTCCACTTCTACCACATCAATTAAAACGTGTGGCGACTCGAATCTNAATTTATTTTTCTTATACTAAGCTAATCTTTGTACGAGAAAACTTGCTTCTTCTACTGATAAAATTTGAATTTTTACTGACCAAGTTTGAATTTGTTACTGATACTTATATATATATAAACTGACCACTTTAGTACTGATCATTTCAATATTTACACTGATAATTTGTATATTTTTTACTGACCATTTCATTTATTTTACTGACCAAAAATTATGTTCCCAAAATCATATAATAAAAATGATGTCAAAATAATGAAAGAAATGCAATTACGTAATTTAATTTCTTGTGAAATAACTGAATTCATGAAATGAGAATGATGTTAATAGAACGAAAGTAATGGCATGATTTTGATGTTTCCGAAAAGACTAAATACATGAAACTCTTTTGATTCTGAAAGTCTCACTGGGTATTGATTAAGAATAAGAAGTGATTGTGATATAATTAACAGGTCTTCCTAATAAATGGGCCGTCTTTATTTTCTATCGCTACGATATTTTGTTTTGAATCTTGTTAGATAGAGATTTTATTTCTCTACAAATTTGACGACTTTGCCCTGTTAATCAATTTTTCGTGTCAAAGTGAATTCAACGAGATGAATTCCTACTCAATTGGGTATATGCGAAGGAAAATTAATAATCGTAAAGAATCTTTTGAAACAGACTTAACGAAATTCGAAATTATTATAACATTCTACGCTATAATTCTGCACCTTTCAGTGTATATCTTCAAATTTTACAACATATATTGCAGAGAAAAAACTTCAGAACTAGCACATGTAGAAAAACTTATTTTAGAACTAGTCAAAACTGTTGTTTGCGTTTGATTCAAACTAGTGTAAATTTTTCAAATATTTAAATCTACATATTCACTGCTTTATTCATAATTCAATTCTGTATCAGATAGTACACGTGAACTTATTAAAACCAACAATGTTGTACAAAATTAGATTTTCTGTCTAACATGATCAAAAACAAAATTTTAAAAAGTGTGAAATGTCTCAGCAAAACAAAAATGAAAATCGATCATTTATTATAGGACAACGGTTATCATGAGATCTCTATCGGATTGTGTAAATAATACGTAAAGTATACTACTCATCGAAGATAACAAAATATAAAAAAATATATTATATCTTCGGAGAGACATCCAGATTTATATAGATTAGAAAGTTTCATTGAGAGTTTTAAGAGTACTGTTCAAGTCTGGACGAACTTACGAAAAATTGAACAATTACGTTCGAGTCAGTTCCGAATCCAAAATTTCTTGGATTCGATCAGTTTTACTTGCAAATATTCAATTGAAAATTGAACGATCAAGAAATCAAGCTAGCTAACGATTTATAATTTTCAGCAATTGAAACAAAAAACCAAATAATCAATAATATATGAAATAAAATTATTTTGAAATCAATGAGTTCTGAAAAACATGCAGAAATATGTACGAAAATAATCTGCTATTTTGATGGAAATTTAATTTTGCCACTCATAATAAAACCACTAATCAAATGATTACTACTTCTCAGCATAATTTATCAACTTACGAGCAGCAGGAGTACTCGAGCAAATTTATATCTATAAATACTGTTCACTGATTCTGACGAGTTCTTTTCTACAGATTTACTCATGCGCAATTATGTAGATACTCAGTGTAGTAATCATGTTTGTTTGTTTGTTTTTTTTATTGAATATTTGACAGAAGACATTTATATACTTATATATATAAAGAAAAACGAGTGACATTGAAAATTTACCAATAAAGATATGTTCAAATATAACAAATAAAAATTCTGTGATTCAATAAAAAAAATTATCAAATTAATTAAAAAATGTAATGAAATAACTAGATAGAACAAACAACTTTTGTTACAAGTCTATCGTGATTTTAAATCCAGAAGATACTACAGAAAAATAATTTTATTTTTTTGTACAAATTACTAATAGTCTCCCGATAGTTTGTTAGTTAAAAAGAAACATATATTTGAATGTTGTTTGTGTAGTAATCAACATTGCATGCGTATCTCTAATCAGACTTTTTTGTTTTACAGAATAATTGAATTTTCATTTCGCTTTTCCTATATTTCATTTTGGTGTTACTTAATGAGATCAAGATACAGAAATCTTCAGCGTTTATAATGAAAACTAGATATTTCTTTATTTTGATATTATAAAAATAAGTTTTCATTTATTTTTAAGAGATCAAAGAATAGAATAAAGTTTTCAAAAATAAAAACATCAAAATTTATTATTAGAAAATATACAGCATAGAACTGTATGTATCCTTGTCTATTGTATATTTGCTTAAAAATAAATTATCTGGTTGACGACAATTTGATTTTTATTATATACAAAAAAAAATACAAACAAATATATTCTACTATCTTCTCAGATGATAAAGATTACTTTCATTATTTGGATTTCTATTTTTAAATTCAAATAAAATGAACGTAATGCAATAATTCTGGACAGTATATAGACTTAGGAGTGTTTTACATTAAATACTAGAGTATACCGAAACAAAAACATTGAATTAAATAGTGTATAATTAATAGGCGTACGCAAATTTTAGCGCAAATATTCTGTAGGTAGTACTTGTTTGATGAGTACTTTCAATAATGATGTTGAGATTTATAGTTCAAGAAACAAGATGTATGATTATTTTCTTACATTTTGATTTTGAACAAAAAAAAATTGTGTATCGGTTTGATCGAAATATCAGACTACTTTTATACATTAATTCGAATACATTGTGAAAATTATTGAATTTAAGATAATTTTATCTTATGCACTATCAAAAAAAAAAGACATCTTCATCTATTGTATTTCATTGTTCTGAAAAATCACAGGTTCTTAGCTACTTACGCTGTAGACTTACTCAATTTTTAATTTAAGTCATTGTCCATAGTACATTAACACAATGATTCGACTAAAGAGAATCGATTATCATTACAAATGATATGAATATTATTATTTTTATTATCTAAATAAATATGAAATTTTAATTCAAACTTACTTAAATATATAGACAACACTGGAATAATAAATGGTGTTAGCTTTAATTATCTCAGCTTGATACATACGATCGATAAAATTTATGTCTAGTTGTTCTTCTAGTTGTACGTAACAACGTTGCATACAGTGACGCTCAAAATTATTCATACAACTAAAGAATAATAATCCAATTCCAATATCTTTGATCTAGTTCAAGATATGGAGCTGTGGTTTTCGCCAAAATGTAGCTATATATTCAAGCTATGCAAGAGAAAAATATCAACTCAATAGATGATGTCTCAGCACTACAAGAGTAATAATCATAGAATCTTGGTTTGGCTGAAAATTACTCATAGAGTTAATTGCTCACAAGAGTAACGATTTGTGTTCTAGTGATTATAGAAGAAATCAAATTACTTTCTTACACGAGATTCTCGGTTGGATATTTGTCCTTCTATTGAACAATAATAAACATAATTTTCTCATGTTCTTCAGATATCAAAGAAGAAAAAAAATACAAGATTAGTTTTTTTCAAAATTCTTCTGATATTCTTTCATTTCATAATTAGAATAAGAAAATTCTGCATAATCCAATAGTGAAGATTTGTCTTATTCAAAGTAAAAGACATGTTCAATAGATGTCAACATATATTTTCGATTCTTCTGTGCAATTTCTAATAAAAACAATCATATCAGTTCACAAATATAGCAATCGTTAGATTTGGTCCTACGCTCATGTATGTTTTGTCGCTTTTTCCAAACGATTTGCTCGTTTCTGTCTATCCTATAACGTCATAAGGAAATGAGAAAATGGTGACTATTATTGTTCAATAGAAGAACAAATATTCAACCGAGAATTTCGTGTAAGGAAATAATTTGATTTCTTATCAATCACTAAAACACAAATCGTTACTCTTGTGAGCAATCAACTCTATGAATAATTTTTAGGCAAATCAAGATTCTACGATTTTTATTCTTGTATTGTCAAAACATCATCTATTGAGTTGATACTTTTATCATACAGTCTGAATACTTAGCTACATTTTGGTGAAAACCGCAGCTCAATATCTTGAACTAGATCAGAGATATTAGAATCGGATTGTTATTCTTTGGTTGTATGAATAATTTTGAGCGTCACGGTATGTCAACCAATGTTTTTACTGTCTTGTCAACACGAATAAAAGATTGACATGAAATTGTAATATAAACTATTTTATTGTATATGATGAAAAACAATATTGATAGTTGTTAAATGCCATATATAATTGATTGATTAGGCACAACAATTTTTCTTAAGAGAGAAAAACAAAATGAATATTCATCCATATAAAGGATGAGTTGCGATAAGACCATTTTTCATCCCTAATATTTTTTCAAAAAAACCTATATGATGTGATCCGCACTGAATTCTGAACAAAACAGACTAGTTTATTTTTCGCAGAGGTTATTGAAATCGCTGACCATGAAAATCATATTTATGATCAGCGATGTCAATAACCTACAAATCATTTAAATTTCAACGGAAACCGGGAAAGAAATTTTTTTTTTTTTGACCTATGAAAAAAATAAACTAACTTGTTTTATTCAGATTGTAATGCTGATTCTCGCCATAGAAGTTTTTTTTTGAAAAATATTGGGGATAAAAAAAGGGTATTACCGCCACGTATCATTTAAATAGTCCCTCTTTGTTTATCTATAAAGGACATATTTTGGATGTTTTTTTTCTTCTGTTCCATTAGCATATCGTCATTGTATAGCTAGTAATGATAAATAAGCATATCATTTTTCTTTTAATTCGTACAAAAGATCATCAAGAAAATGGCATGTTTATTAATTCTTATTTCTATTAATCAATAAATAGGATATTGATGAAATTTCGTAGTAACATTTAGTGAATTAATAACTAATGTTTATTTTGTTTTTATGGAAACATTCTGTAAATTATCTATCGTTTTCGTTTAAGAGATTTTTATATATCTAGTTAGAAAAGAAACCAAACAAAAGTTGACTATATAGAAGTAATTCAAAAATATTTAATTGTAAATATATAATTTTCGATTTTTGAATAATTTATTATTCATACTATTTAATTTGGAACATTAAACAATTATTAATTAATCTAACAAGAAATATTCTAGACTATTTCTAGAGTAACAGATGTTTCTTAGCAGTGGACCATTGAACCAGTCGATGGGGGAAGTTGTTTCACTTTATGGGAAGATGCTTCACCTCACATAAAGTCATACATATGTACGTACATATAATCTATTATATGATACTGTATACATACTTGAATTTAGAGAGAAATGGTTTTTCTTTCACGGGGAAATGGTTCTTATTCCAAAGCAAAATGGTTAGACCGTATCGCTTTGTCCACAAAGTAATCGATGTCGTGGAAGTATCATGCTAGCGCTATTTTCCAGCACTGGTTCCCTGTTTAAATTCAAGTAAATAAATTTTGTTTTGTTGTTAATTTTCAGTTGGATAATCGAGACGCACATTATTTATCGTATCTACTTTCGAATGACAAGGAATGATTAACTCTGTTCATTTACTGTGTGTAAGTTAACAAGTAACTTTCAGATAATCATCATCAATTGAAACGGAAACAATAAGATTGAATTTCCATTTAATCGACCTTTTTATGTGCAATTATTTTTTTATATTGTGATGCAATTTTGTTTAGCTACTATTTAATCGGTCAGTAGAATAAATGAAATAGTCAGTAGATGTAAAAATGCGAAAAATCAGTAAACTCAATGAATGGTCAGTAAAATAATGAT